ACATTTTTGAATCCTTAAGTGGAGATTTATCAGAAAAAGCACTTGTAGTCTTCTTTCAGTGCATGTCAATGCATTTCACAAGATTGAGGTTTTTGTAACCCTGAATATCAGCACACCATGCCCTTTCAGACAAGCTTTGTGCTTTTTACTGATCAAGGTAGCACTGGGGATGCAGTTGTGCATAGCTGTTGCTGTCTTTAGCTGGTTGAGCAGAGCAAAGGTTGCACTTTTCCATCATCAGTGCACAAGAATTATAAGCTTTTTTCTTTAAACGCCAGTGCATCCTGGACACTTAAAAGGGCCAACTAGTGTCGTATCTCATGTCTACAACTGTAAGCAGGTAAAAAACCTTTACTTGAGTTAACCCAAAGTAAATTAATCTTTCATTTACCTCTCATTTTGCAGGGGAAACACTGTGTGCTTGTTAGATCCTGAGCATTGGCTTCTTGTTCTTCAGGTCTGTTTCCATTGCACTGTGTAGCTTACTCCTGTAGATACAGCTACTCCATAGTAAAATTAGTTCATTTACCAAGTAATTGAATTGAGAACTATCAAAATTTTATGTAGTTATGTTCACTTAACACCTATTAAAGTGTGGTTTACAAATGTTGATGTCTCCAGGGTTTTGTTTGTTTTCGTTTCCCTCAAAACTGATAGACAGGGCAGGAAAAAAATATCTAGAACAGTGTTTCCTTGGAATTGTCAGGAGAAACTCTGAAAGATATTTGAGCAGATATTTGTTTTACGTCAGAAGAATTTGAGTTCCCTGGAAGACAGAAACAGGCAACCATTTTCCTTGTACTGGCTTGTTCAGTCTGTGTATTCTCACTGTCAAAAATTACTTCCTTTTTAATGAAATAAAAATTCCCTTGCTTTCCTGCCTTCTCTTACTATAGATAAACTAATAGTCTCTTTCAAATATGTAATTATTTCTTCAGTATTGCATTATACAAGACTGTATTTATGAAGTTTTAATTGGCTGTACTTGTCAAAGAAGAAAACAGATGATATAGATCTGCCTCGAGCCCCATTGCAACTTAGAAGTGAGAATGCATTTGCTTGATTTCTCCATCTATAAAATATCAGAGATATAGTAAGAGCATCTAAAAAATTTAAAACCTGTTAAGCTCTAAGTTAACTTTCAATACTTTTCTCAAAAACAGGGTGGGATTTCAACTGAATAACAGAATTATGCATTTTGGAGTATACTTATTATTTTGGCTAATATCCCTGTAAATGCACAAAAGGCCTCAAAGAGAGCAGCAAAGTGAATAGATCTATTGCTTTTAGTGCACAATTAATCTTGCTGACATTACTTTATATGAGCGAGGATAAAAATGCCTGGAAAGCATACCATTGAATTCCAGTGCTCATTAATATTGGTCAAATGTTGTTCCCTTTGTGTTTGAAGCTACTTAAAGATTACCTGCAGAAGTATTACAGTGCTATTGATTTAGAAAGACAAATCCCTGAAGCCCACTGTTCTTTAAAAAAATCAGTTGACAAGGGTTTTATTTGTTTGTTTTTCAGTAAAGAAGGATGCTTTCAAACTTCCTGCTATAGATTTTATAGTAACTGAGAATATTAATCAGATTGTCAGGGAATTAATTATCCAACATTCAATATGTTGTTACTTAAAAGCTCAAGGAAGTTAGATGGGAGCTCTTATCATGAGGCAACAGTGCCCAGAGTCTCTGTACAATTTTTAGTGTTTAAAGTGAAATGATTGCTGGGTGAGGACCCAAGTTCTTCAAGACACTCAAACCTTTATAACTGTACATGTTATACAGGGTATGCAATTGACTGAGGTTAAAAAAATAAATAAGTGATATGCTTAATGATTCATACAATTTAGAAGTCCTGGATTCCTTGGACATTGAGAATTAGGAGAAATCAGGTACAATGTTGCAGACTTTTTTTGAGTTTCAATCATTCATTCTTTTAAAATGCAGATGAGTCTAACCTGTGTCATTTAGATGAAATGAATGCTAACTAGTGAAAATTAGATCATTTCTGTTAACTACTTTCAATGCATTTAATTAGTATGTTTCATGGCTCACAGAACCATTTCTGAACCACCAGTTTCTATCAACAACAAAAAAACACACTGCATTTATATTAAAAACGCTGTTGTTACATGTTTGTGACCAGATGACAACTGCAGACAGTCAAAAACACATTCATGTCAGTGTTTTCTTCACAGTTGGAAAGTACTGTAGAAGACTAAGATCAGATAGAAGTACTGGCATACACCAGAGTGGTTATTACTGTGCTGCTCAATTGACCTCTTAAGCCTTTGTACTTTAGAGCAATCTGAGAAAATGCAAAACCTAAGGAAAATCAATGGAAATATGCTGAACATGTGCTTAACAAACCATATGGAGAAAGCAGCAAGCAAAATGAGAAAATAATTGTTAAAGGACTTACTGCTCTTGGAAGATTAGAGTTCCACATGGATAGAAATGATTAGAAATATATTTCTAATATATAATTAGAAATATATTAGAAATATATAATTAGAAATAATATGGAGCTACCTCCAGTTACTCCCCAAACTCCAACATTGTGATAGAGGCATGAAAAAATATATTGTCCATATTCATTGGGAGGCAAAAGATAAAACTAAGTTCCCAGAATATTGCAGAGGAGAAAAAACATGAACAGAAGTTGTGAAAGTTGCAAGCCATGAATCTCATTTGATTTTCCAGTAGGCTAATATATACTCTCAGGAATTAAACATGTAGTATGCCATTATATTTAAAGTGTAATGAAGAATGTGAGGGGAAAAACAAACATGGCAACAGCCAACCTGCCTTCCTTTTGGTCTTCATCATTTTTCCTTTTTTTTTTTTTTGCTATTAAGTACACTTGAAATAGACTGATATATATTCACTTGTTTTATGTATTGGATTCAGTGGGGCATAGTCCATGTTTAATAAAGTGCATAAGCACAATTTCTGCAGTATTGTATCCTGGGTTACACTAAATACAAAGTTGTAATAGAAGCATGTACATGGTTAGTTTCTCAAACTGCACTAACTACACAAGCAATTATAACTGTGGAATGTGTTCTGACAAAATTGTCATTCTGATAATTTTTGTCCTCTGCAAATTAATGTTTTCTCAGAGAATATAGTTTTTATGAAGTGGTATTCTGAATATATGCTATGACTCTGAACATCTGTTGAACCTTGGGTTTGTAATTGGAAACGTAAATAGCCAGACTCTGAGAAACATTAGACATAGAGCCTTTTTAAATTTAAATCATTCAATTCCCAGTGCTGATTGTCAGTAAATTATGCTGTGGAAAGAACTTCATGTCTTTTTTTTTTTTTTTTTAATGTGATTTTAAGTGGATGAATTATTATTACATTGCAATTCAGCAAATGAAGATTATCACCTTTTAGGGCACATAGCAAAGGTTGCAAATAATATATTTTGTACTGCATTTACAAATCTTTTCGCACAGTAACTTGCATATGAAGCTTTCCAGTCAGTGATTACAGGTACTTTAAAATGAGATGGGAAAATTAATTCATCAAAATTCTAAAGTATTTTCTTCTGCTAAGAGATATGCTACAGGTATGGGGGCTGCTCCATAAATACTGCCTCCTATTTCATGATGTTGGCTCACAGAGGTAGATGCTGGTGGTATGGCAGTAAAGACTGAACCTTCCCACTAATAATCCATGACATTTTGTTGCTGTGCAACAGATGGCAGTGAAAGAGCAGTCTGAAAAAATAAAGTCTGACATGGAAGTGCAAGTTAAGCAAAAATGTGTAATTGAATTCCTCCATGTGGAAGAAATGGCACCCACTGACATTCACTGACCCTTGCTGAACGCTTATGGAGACCAACCAGTGGATGTGAGCACAGTGAGGTGGCAGGAGGTGCATTTCTGCAGTGACGATTGTGACAGCAGGTTACCTCCACTACAGCAGATTGTTACAAGTGCAGTATGCAGACTGTTGTTAATTGCTGGAGAAACTGCATAGTTAAGGGATGGTGACTGTAATGAGAAGGACTATTTTGTAGCTGAGAATTTGCTCTGTTGAATAGTACTATTGTGCCTTTTGTGTCTGTTTTTGTTTTCATGGAAGTCAATAGGAGGCATTACTTCCAGAGTAGCCTGTGTAACATTAGTAAGATAATATATAAGTAATATATATATTATATAATATTAATAAATTTATAAAATTATATAATATAATATATATATTATATAATATATAATAATATAATATATATATATATATTATATAAGTAATGCAGTGGGACAGGTTTTTTACACACATCATGGACATAAGAATATGTTCATAATGTCATAATCTGTGGACTGAAAGACATATGTAGTCACTGCAAACTTAGTAAGTTAGATCTCACAGCTGAGACTTAATGTATCCCGGCATATGGCTAGTTGGGGAATAAAAAACAAAATTCAATTAGAAGAATTTTTTGAAAACAGTTTGAAATGGATTTACTGAAAAGGTACTGCGTGGAAAATAATAGTTGGTTTAGTAGCTTGACTTCTGAGCCAGATAGTTACATATTCAAATAGACACACAAAGCCATAGAAAAGGTATCAGGCTTGACACGTAGTGATTACTCAGGGATAATGTACATGTCACTCCATACATGATAGGCACATTTGATTTATGCATATTGGCACAGTGGTATAAAAGTTAGAATGCCTGTTATCTTTAATAGGAGGGCAAGATTTAGCTTCTCTGTCTCCTATCTTCTCTTACATTAAAAAATAATGTTAAGATTAATGAGTAGTGACATACTTCATATTTTTTCTTGTTCATAAAAATCTGTGCTGGCAAGTTATCTGAACTAAATGAAGGATATATTTTAATGGATATGGAGGTCTACATAAGAGATTTTACTTACTTAATGAGTGTAAAATTATGATGTTTTTTAATTATATGTTTATGTATGCTTATCTTCTCCTTTTTTTTTTTTTTTTTTTTTTTTTTTTTTTAATTCCATCTCTTAGGACCCTGCTTTCCTAATCCATGCCATAATGGTGGGATGTGTGAAATTAGTGAAGCATACCGAGGCGACACATTCATAGGATATGTTTGTAAATGCCCAGAAGGTTTTAATGGGATTCACTGCCAGCACAGTAAGTTCCACATGATAACTTTTAAGTATTTATGGATAGAAGCCTTTTTATTAGCTTGCAGTCTTAAGGGTCAGTGTTCGATCTCACTTTCTTAAATCCTTATCCTTCATTTTGTGATCAAACTAATACCACTGAACACAGTTACCACCTTCAGAAAATTGTGTTATTATTTCCAACTTACTCGACACAACAGTGAATGCTTTATGTACATAATATGTACATCGTATGGAAATGTAGCTGCATTTATAATGGATTTAATAGAAGGCAGTATTTGAAATAATAGAGATCTCCTTTTTCTGTTGGAAATGTCTGCGCATTTTTTTTTATTTATGGTATGCAAATGTGGAAAGGATTACTGAGAAAAAATCGTGTATAAATACACCTTCTCCATCTTTCTTTACCTATGTATTTATAAATTAAGAATAAATGCCTTGAATCATGGTATCTAAATTTAAGGGTAGAAGTTCCAAACTTAAATAGGCTTTATATTTAATCATGTTTTAAATGGAATATCCTTTTTCTCCTTATTTATGTGAAGAGTTCCTCCTACTTTCAGATTAGATTGTTAACCAGAAGATTATGAAGTTACAGAACTGAAAAGTAGCAATATGAAAACGAAAAAAAAAACACTGTCAGATTTTGATATTCACTCACAAGAGGAATGAGTTCACACTGTAATCATGATGGCAAACGATTGCCTGCCCTTAAACGATGTAGCCAGGAGTTCAGGAGTCTTCAGAACAGGAAAGGAGGTATGATTATGTCTGACTGTAACTCAAGGTTGTACTAGCTTGCAAGTTTCACTTGGGCTAAATTGTCAGTTCAGTACTTTGTTGTTCCTGACCTCTGGCATCAGCACGTATTTTACAAGAGTCTGCTGGCTGATAAGTGAAGAAAAAGCCATTAGAATGTGGCAAGCTGGGAAGTTGTATACCAGCCCCTGGGACTACACTTGGTAAGAGTAAAGCAAACAGTTTTTGTTTGCCGTTGATGTCCAAGTTGTATGAGAGAACATCATCATGTTCACAGGCACACTCCATCATAAGAATAGGCTCATAGTCACCTCATGGTGCAGTGTGCAGTGTTCTACCTTTAAATGCCAAAGAGGTGACCTGTATTAAGGATGCCATGAAGTGAGTAACTCCACAAATTTTTACCAAGTAAAATGAATGCTTTAGCATGTACTGTCTGAATAATTTCATATATTACCTGCTTGGTGAAAAAAAAACAAAACCCATGCAGTAGTGAATTATGGTATTAATCATAGCTGTTTACTGAGTCCCTTTATCCTTTTAAAAATATTCAAAGGGAACAATTAGCTACTGTTATCCTCCTGATAATCAGCAAAGTACACTTACACTAATTTCAGAATAAAGCAGAGTTCTCACATGGGTGATTCAAATTCACCACGGGGAGAAGACAGCAGCTAGTGGGATTTCCAGTGAGATAAATTTATGTGAAAAGTTAGTCTTTGGGGGAGAATGAAATTCAGTTTTTTTCAGAGAGTCTGATTTAAGATGTGGTAATAAACCGTATGCAATATATAGATATTCAGTGTGTCTCTAAGGATGTCAGCTATGAGAAGCAGAGGAGAACATGACTTCAATAAGGAAGAATCTGACTTCCAGTGGTGCATTTAATGTAACTCTTTAATATGATATCTCTTTAGCTTAATTCATGAAGTTCCTTTTATGTGAGTTCTTCTACTTCATAAAGTTCAGCAGTTCAGTTCTGAATTCATTCTAAATCAAATAAGAAGTCTGTCAAACTAGATCCGTCCTTAAAATGTCCTCATTGAAAGATATGTGTTTTCATCTAAATTGTTAAGATATCCAGAAATCATGTTGTACTTTCTTGTGCAAAGTTTCTTATCTCAGACTTCTTTCATATCTAAGATTCTGTTGCTAAATCAAGGAAGTTAAGTGACTGATTTTTCAATCAGGATATATTTCCAAAGCTAGTATTCTGGCATTCATAACAACAAACATCCTATCAATATTCCTGCAGTTTCTTGATCTTTTACCCATGTAAATAATTAATATATAAATTATGAAATAGATCATTAGCAAGATCACTAATTTCATAGTATGGATTTACTGCAAAAGCAATATCAATTGTCAGTGGTTATCCCTCAGTGGTAAGAGGTTTCACAAGGATAGGATAATAAGGACTACCTTGGTTTTAACCTGGGGAAATTTTTATGGAGACACATAAGAAGCTACTTCTGTATGACATTCTGGCTTTTAAACATGCTGTTGACAGTATCTAGTGACAAGGAGAGAGGAATTTGCAAAAACTTGCTTGAGGCGAGAAGGCAAGTCTCCCTACGGCCTTTCTACACTGAGAAAGCAGCTCTTCCAGAGCATAGCTCAGAGCACTTAAATTCCTGAAAATAGCATAAAACTCATGCCCAGCAGGACTGGGGTGTATTCCTTGAGTGTGATGCTCATTTTTAAGAACAGCAGGTAATGTTTTCTTCAGGATCATGCTGACTGAAAATAAGTGGCAAGCTTATGCGGTAATGTTTTGGTAGCAGGGGGCAGCAGAAGTGGTCTGTATGAGCAGAGCCCATCAGTGCACCATGTCAGAGCAAAGCTGCTCCAGCTGCTCCAGCAGGGACCCACCAGTGCCAGAGTTGAGCTGTGAATGATGCTGGATGTGCTCTGGGAGAGCAGAATTAAGGGAGGAAACACCGATGTGTGACAGCAGCTGGGAGAGAGGGGGGAGCAATGGGAGAGAAGCGGCCCTACGGCAGAAGGGCAGGAGGTGCTCCAAGCAGCAGCTCCCTGCATCCCAAGAGAGGTCTATGGAGGAGCAAGCTGTCTGGAAGAGCCAGGGGAGCTGCTGTCTGTGAGGACAGTGCTGGAGTGGTACCTGAAAGGTGGACCCTGTGTTACAGAGCTGTGCTGGGGAGAGCTTGGAAAGCTGCAGCATGTGGGATCAGTTCAGGAGAGACAGCATCCTGGGAGAGGCACCACGTTTAGCAGTGGCAAAGACTAGTAGACATGAAGTGTGAAAAATAGGTGGATTATTGACATACTTAAAAAAACAAACACACAAAAAAAAACATAAAACAGAGTAACTTAGGAGGACTTCCCAAAAGTAATGCTTCTTGTTTTATTAAATTGGCCCATGACATCAGATGCGGATGTTGGTGGTATGACCATCAATATTCCATTACATTTTGTAGCTGTCTGACAAATGGCAGCGGAGGGGTAATGAATCATAGAATTGGAGAATTTGTTTGGGTAGGAAGGGACCCTTGAAGGTCATCTAGTCCAACACTCTTGCAGTACACACAGATATCTATAGCTAGATTGAAGTGTGTATGAAACAAAGGTGTGTCATTGAATTCCCCCATGTGGAAAAAAAATGCATCTACTGACATTCATCTTCACTTGCTGAACACTTATGGAGACCAAAGAGGGTATGTAGCACAGTGAGGTGTTCCAACAGTGGTGACAAAGGCAGTGGTTCACCTTTGCTGGTACAAGTTATGAGAACAGCATGCAGGCTCATGTTCATTGCTGGCAAAAATGCACGGCTAATGCTGGTTACTATGCTGAAAAATAGTGTTCTGTAGCTGAGAATTTGCTTTATCAAATAATGTTATTTGCTCTTTGCTTTAGATTCTGTGAAAAGGAATAGAATGCATTTCTCTCAAATCAACCTATGTAGATAACATGTATTATTGTGATTATCAATAAAATATGTTAAAGTGTGTCTGCCACTCAACAAACTGAAATAAGAGAGATCCAACCTCAAAAAAAAAAAAAAAAAAAAAAAAAAAGAGAAACGACAAACAGTTCAGATTTAAGTATTTGGTTTTTTACTTCCTGTTCTGTTGATGGTTAATGCTGCCAGCCATTACTAAATGCCTTGCACTCTGAGAAGATTACGGCTTATTAAACAAACATGTTTGATAGTGTAAGAAAGCTCTTCCTAATGTTTTTCCAGCATTCTCTGTTTTCTGTCTCCACAGCCTAAATGACTTGTGGTGCCACATTAATGTGTTGAGAAACTACACAGCTAGAGTGAGGGCACGTGGCAGAGCATCAGCTCACATTTTAGTAGTATGTTGAAGCATCATTCCAAATCTGCATGGAGTATTGGCTCTTAGTGCAGGGCTGCAACTGGAAGGGCCAGTTGCCATGAATCTGGCCTAGTTGAGATCATGTGTAATTTACACCTTCAGTTTAGTAACAAATTCAAATACAGGGACCTGCCCATCTACTGGAGAAGACACTGTGTGAGGAGGCTGGATAACGTGGTGTGAATTTTTGTTTGTTATAATGAGTGGGAATTCTTGCTAAACTGCTTCCACTTGCAATTAGGTGGTAGAGCCATCCAGAATCCATTCCCTGCAGGTGGAAGGCATGCAGCTGTCTTATTTTCGAGGCTAAAACAAATTTTATCATGCACAGATGCAGCTTGTTCCAAACCAGAAGGACCCTTCGCCACATGGGCAAATTTAATATATTAGGGTAGAAGCAGATACACCATACTAGATATACACCCTGTGCTTCTACTGATAAACACTCACTGTGACTTCTCTTGAAATACAAGTTTAGGCTTAGGTAATTCTAAATCTAACTGAGGTTTCCTTTTTATTTTCTGTGATGTTGTTGAAACAACTGCACAGTTTTAATAAGTTATTATATAAAATAGTAATAATAAATTACATTATATATTGGTAGTAAGTTGCTTGTACAAGTATGTTGTAACTAACATCAACATCTAAGCATTGTTTAGCTGAATTCTGAAAACTATTTCCAGGTCTGAATAGTTGCTTAGATAAGAAATGAAGAAAGATAGATCCGCCATTTCTTTTTCAGTAACCTAGAATTTTGCGTAATTAGAAAGCAAGAGAAATCAAGTTGTTTGAAAGATGTCTATAAGATATCACCAGTAAAGAATTAAAAAATCCTGTAGCCAGTAATTACTGTTGAAGGAAAAGTCAATCAAATGTAGTTCCTAAAATGGAAACTGTGTAAGGCAGC